GTCTTTCATTCAGAAATTCCACTTCTAGGAATTTATCCAAAGAAAATAAAGAGAAATATGGGGAGATTTAACATACTATCTATAATGGCAAAAGATGTAAACCACCCAAGTGGGTCACAATAGAGAAAATTATTTGGTACATTATAGAATAATCATATGATGGATTACTATGTAGTTATTAAATATATCTTGAGATAACATTTAATAACAAGGAAAAATGCTCATAATATGCTACATGGAAAAAAGTATATATCATGTATACATGTTATGTAAATGTAAACATATATCATATGATTCTCTCTGTACATATTCTATATAAAGAGATAGGTATATATATATTATACATATTATATAAATCATCCCAATTTTGGATATATCCATACACCAAAATGTCAATGGTGACTATTTCTGGCAGGTGGGATTATGGGTTGCTTTTTTTTTTTTTTTAAGATTTTATTTATTTATTTGACAGAGAGAGCAAGACAGCAAGAGAGGGAACACAAGCAGGGGAGCAGGAGAGGGAGAAGCAGGCTTCCCGCTAAGCAGAGAGCCCGATGCGGGGCTCAATCCCAGGACCCTGAATCATGACCTGAGCTGAAGGCAGACGCTTAATGACTGTGCTACCCAGGCGCCCCTATGGGTTGCTTTTATTTTCTTCTTTAGGCTTTCATATATTCCAGTATTTAGGGATTACTACTAGAATCATATCACATCAGAAGGCACACAAAGTCAGGTTGTTTTTTTTTATGGCTAGTGATGCTAAGTTTGGCCACCTGGTTAAAGTGGGTTCCTCCAAGCTCTTCACTCTAAAGGGAACTTTTCCCCTTTGCTAACTAATCTTTAGGGTGAGGCTTATTTGAGAGCAGATGCATCTCCTATTTCCCTACAACTTGTTACTCTATGCAAGCAGCATCCACTATGATCCTGCCAGAGGCAGTTAGTTCATTGAGGGTTACACCATGGTTATTTTCTTCTACATTTATCAGCTGACATTCTTTGGTGAAGATGAGCTTCCCTCTCCCACACTTTTAGTATTACTATGGATTCATGGATTTCTCCTCCTCCTTCATGTTACCGCTATTATTGACTCGCAGATGTATTATTATTATTATTATGATTATTTAGTGTGTTACAACCATTGCCTGTACTCTTCTTAATGCTCAAACTCTCCCAAATATGACTGCTGGGTTTCCCTTCAAGCCAGTTACTGTGTCTCCATCACTCTTTGAACACCCTCCTACTTTCTGTAGCAGCTCGCCTTGTCCCAGATGTGGATTTGGCCACCTCTCCAAGAAGTTCCAGTTTCTATTAGCAGGTTGTGGTATATAGAAACCAAGATCTGAGTGCTAAGTGTGTTCACTGTCACCAGGTTCATTGCTTCTAGGTCCTTTCAATGAACAGAGTCAGGAAACTGGGAAATATAAACATAAATGCGCGCGCGCGCGTGTGTGTGTGTGTATATGTGTGTGTGACGAGCTCATATCCATACCTCCAATTCAATACAATATCACGTAGTTCTTTGTCCTTTCCCCTACTCCAGATCTGTATCCACCTACCTCCATGGTGAGAACCCTGGTTCCCAGCTTCAATATAATTCCTTATCTATTCTATCCTATAATACACCCCAAACAGTTTCAGATTATGACACCAATACTCATATGGAGTCTCTGTTATTAACACTAATATTTCAGCTAGTTTTCTCTGCCCTTCAGGCTGATAACCTGTCAACCATTCATTTCCTTAAATAATTATTGAATTTAGAAGAGCAAATTCCTTTCATCTTCAGTCCATAATTAAAAGTAACTTCGATGTCAGCTGGTACAACTTTGCCCTTAGAGATCTAGATCTAATTCCATGACCTAGGTGCAAAGCCAAAGCTGGGACTTCTGCCAACTCCTGGTGGTTTGCTTCCTCAGGTCTGATCCTGCACACACTGCACCGTGACAGGAGACTCACAGCCCCTCAAGATCCGCCCCCCAAATAGTCTACTCTTGCAGAGATTTTAAGAACCAGGCGGACTTTACTGGCAACTTGCCAGGAATGATGGCGAAGGGGACAACAGTACAACACGTCAACTTTCACAACTCAGTAGGCATGACCAGTCTCAAGAAAGCCCCAGCCACTGGCCTCTCAGCTCTTCCCAGATGCTTGCTCTCCTTCCCACTGTTACTCCCTCTTCCTTTTCTCTCCTCTCGGCAGGATCAAAAAGCACCATTCTTCCCCCTCTCTCAAGCAGACCAACCTCCTCCCCTGAAGCCTTGCTCAAGACATTCTTATGACAAAGACAGCCTTCCTCCTAAGAGAAATTACAGTGAATGAAATTTCCTCCACCTCTTTACACATACAAGGGTTGGAATCTTTTTAAAGCTTGGTCAGTTATAAATGACAAACAAATTGCTACAAAACTCTCTCAAGATGAGCCTATCCATCGACTCAGTGAATGCCTCTCAGAACCAGGTCCCCACCAGATGGCTCAAGCTGCCCAGCATCTTTCGACCTCAAGAACCTCCAGCTTCCAGACCCACCTCCTCATGTCTCCACAAACCTATCCCTCACACAGGCAAAATGGGCTGTCCAGATCTCTTCCAGTGGGATGTCCACCACCCCACACTCCCTCCCAGAATACCAGCCAAGGACCCTGAGAGAGACACAGTGCTCTATAGACATGAGTCTGCAGTCTCAGTCTGTGGACTGAGCCCAGCAGAAGGGGAGCCCGGCACTCCTGGCAGTGCCACAGTTCATTGGGGAGAGCCTCAGGTAACAGACTCTCTTCTCCACTTCTAATTTCTCCTTGCTTCCCCGCCGATGGCCTTGCTAAGCAACCTGCCTGGACTAGAACCAGTGAGTCATGGCCCTTCCTGAGTTTTTAGGGCCCAGATGATGATCTTCTATGGGCAAAAACTTTCCAAAAGGCCAGCATGTAGTGCTGGAAACAATCCCCAACCAGGGTGCGGGGCGGCGGGGGGGGGGAAGGTATGGGTCTTTCCAGGAAGCCTATCCAAATCACTGATGAGGGGAGGGGACATGAGAAATTTGAAAAATATTCCAAAATTGCTGTTGTACTGGTGATTTTTCTAGCCAGTGTATCGTTCAGGTGCTTTGACGTGTCAATTGCCGGTAGGAGACACAGGTCAAAATGGTTTAGTGATGTACAAGAATATTGGGGCCATTCAAAATGCAAGAGAGATGTGGTACAAGGAGAATAGGAAATGAAAGGGTCTGGGAATGAGAAGAGGGTGGACGAGGGAGGCCCCCTGGGACCACTGGCGCACTGCCCTGTAGCTGCCCATCCATCCTCAAAGCCCCTGCCTGCTCGTGGTAATCTGGGGAGCACTGAAGTACCTCCCGACCTTCTGTCCCCCTCCATCATTTCCCAACATGCCTCAAAACCACCATCTGCACCTATCCTCTGAGTTAAGCACTGGCTTCTGTGGTCTTCTCCATCAAGCAGGTGGAATTTCTGTTGGGATTGATGTTACAATTTTATCTAGTTTTGCACCATTCTGGAGCTTTCTTTAAAAAGATACATAACCTAGGCTAGGTAAGTAGTTTCTCTAGCGTGGTGCTTTTCCAAATTTTTATGTAGTCACATTGATTACTCCTCAGGAGAATCCAGAGCCCAGAGCACAGCAGCCTTGCCCTTAAGAGGTGGTAGACCCAGAGGGACAGGTGAAGTCGGCCAGTACAATACCTGTGCCCTTTGTCCTCGCTGAGATGCGGTAGGAAGCCACATATCAGGGTAATTCCAACATTTCCCATCACTGGGCTGCTCTCCCATGCCCAGTGGGGATTGTTCTCGGCCCAGGCGCCCAGAAGGCCTTGTGCTTCTTTCCATCATGGCTCAATGACTTTCCTTGGGATAGGTGGGGGCCCAGCACAGGAGCTCAGGCCCTTTGCCCGCTGAGTAATCTTGGGATTGTTACCTGAACAGGATGCAAACTGGCTAAGAACAAGGGTTCTGGAGACAAGCTTACCTGCGTCACACACTGACTCCACCCCTGGCCAGCACCATGTGCGTGAGACTTACGTTCTGTCTGTTTCCTCGTCTGTAAGACGGAGCTTAGAATAATCTCTACCTCGTAGGGTTGCTTTGAGTTAATCTGATGAGCTAATGCATGTAAAATGCTTACGACACTGCCTTGCTCACAGAAGGTGCTTAATAAAGATCTGCGATTTTATACGTGCATGCATTGCTCTACACATACAAAGGCTATCAAGACATACTTCTTAGGATGGCTGAAATAAGTTTGGCAATAAAGTTAAATGTGATGATACCACATGTTGGTGAGGATGTGGAGCAACTAGAACACTGCAGATGGGAATGTTAAATGGAGAGCCACTCTGAACAATGGTTTGGCAGCTTCCAATGAAGTTAAACACACTTTACCACAGTTACCATATGAGCTAGTGATCCATTCCTAGTTATTTACTCAAGAGAAATGAAAACATACGTCCACACAAAGAATGCTCATAGCGTTTTATTTATCATAACCCCAAACTGGAAACAGTCCAGGTGTTCATCGACAAGTAGAGGGAAAAACAAATTCTGGAACATCCTTTCAACGGAATACGACTCAGCAGAGAGAAGTCACCAACTCCCGATACATGCAGCAACATGGATGAATCTCAAAAGCATAATGCTAAGGAAAAGAAGCCAGATGCACAAGACCACGTACTGTAGGATTCCATTTCTATGACATTTCAACCAGGAGAACAGGAGGGGCAGAGAACGGATGAGTGGTGGCCAGCGGCTGGCAGGAGCAGGGAAGGAACTGTCTAACTGAGCCTGAGCGAACACTGTAGGGTGATGGATGGAAGTGTCCTACAGCCTTGTGGTGCTGGTAGCTACATGACCGCATATGTTTGTCAGAACTCGGAACAGCACACGTACCAAAGGTAAACTCTACCTTAGGAAATCTAATATTACCTATGAGAGGAGGGAATTGGGTAGGGGGAGTATATAAAGGATACTTTTTTTATTCCACTTAAACACACCGTACCACTTGAACTTTTGTCATGAGTGTGTCATTCAGGTCCTGGGTAATAACTTCATTAGAGTATGAAGTCATAATGATGCTATATATCCACTTTGAAGGGATGCTGTAAGATGCAAATGGAATGAGATAATGTGTATACAGCATGTGCACAGACGACCCATGAATCTTCTAAAGTGACAAGGGGCCTCCACTGAGAGTGACACCCACAACTTACCTCAGTGACAAAGAGTGTACGAGGATCGATAATATCCAAGAAGTGCCTGAATCGACCGTAGAAGGATGTCTGGAGAAGTGAGTGGGAGAGGAGAGCAGATCAGCTGCTGTAGACCATCCTCCAGCCCCCGTGGACCACACCCCACAGCTTACCCTTCTCACTGGGGTCCCACCACCCCCAGGACTCCCCACGTGATGAATGCCGGTGAGGCCTCGCTTCTCAGTCACCTGAGGGCAGCTTTCCAAGGTCTGAAGTCTTCTTAAAGTCAACTCATAAAGACCATTAAGATACTCGGTGACTGTCCCGGGTCCTCTTCAGGCTGCCTCCCATTTTCCTCCTTCTTCCCCCAATTCCCCGAGACCCCCTCCAGCCTTCCACAGTGCCCCAGCACCAGTGAGCACACAGGCTGAAGGAGAGGCCTGGGCCCAGCCCTCTCCCAGCCTTCCTTGTGCACCACAGCCTCCCTTGCCTTGCTTTGGACCTCTCAAGTATAGGGAGGGCCCGCCTCCAAGGTCCAGCTCAAGCATCACGGCACCCAGCTCACAGCCCTCAAGCCCTCCTTTACCCATAGCCCTGGAGCGGCTGTGAGGCTCAGTACAGGGGCCTGCTTGCCCTGGCCTTGCCAGGGTCCCCAGAAAAGGAGGGCTTTGTGCAAAGCAGGCCACAGGCATTAGCCCACAATGAAGGGAAATGGAGCAATGAGCAACACTGCTACTGGGCCCTCTGCCCTAGGGAAAAAGCCAAGCTCAAGGAGGTAAGAAGGTGCCAAGCTAGAGGACAAAGGGGAAGCTGCACACACTGGGGGTTCATGCCTCGCTACACTCCGGGCTTTGCCCCAAGTCCTCCCTAGAGCCCCACAGCTCTCCCCGCACCATCCTCTGCACGGTGAAGGAAGCAGAAGCCTCCACACTGCCCCCCCCCCCGCCGCCTTGCTCATTAGGACGCCAGACCCTACAGCCACAGTCTGCTGCTTTCTCTTCCCAATAACGACCCTGCAATAGTTCCCTGAAAGCCCCCTGTGCATACCAGGCCCCATGCTGCTCTGCTCACCAGGACACCCCCTGCATGGAGCACCCACCCTCTCCACCCCTCCCTCCACCCCTTGAGGTACTGCCATTCACAGACCAGATCAAGCTTCGGCACTATTCCTTAACTAAAACTGTTGCTTCTCTAACCGCTTATAACTCAAAGGGCCTAAACCATTTCCCCACTTATACATAATGCTCACACTGCTGTCCTGGCAAAATTTCCCCTCTAAGTATTTAGTCTAAGGAAGCAACCAGAGATGTTCAGAGGTGTGGTCAGATGTACATGCTGATGATGCTCACCGCTGCATTATTTACGAAGGTGGATGGTTCGGTAAATAATGGTCCACTCATATGACTGAACACTATGCATCCATCTAAAATCATGTTTTCAGACATTTATGACATGAAAAAATGCTTATGATTTTGTGAAATGCATACTTACAGGGTAATGCCAACTTAAAAAAAAACGAGATAGATGGACAGTAAGTGGATAGCAAAGACACACAATGACATCCAGACCCTGGTCTACTAGAACGAACTGGGGGTCCTTAGAGAAGTGGCTGATTCCAGGGCTGGGGAAGGGAAAGGACAAGACAAAACTGGTCCACCTTGTTAGGCCAGAAAGTAATGAAGCTGCCAGCCCACAGAATGATGGGGACATGTTAAAGGGACTGATGAGGGGCAGATGGACATGGTGTGCCTCTGGATGGGACACCCTGAGAAATTCATGGCATCACTCAAATAGTATTCTGGAGGGACTGACGCTAATCATGAGTAGACATCGGCACACCCAAACTAAGGTGCGTTCCATAAAATGACCAGCCTTGTTCATCGAAGATGTCAACGTCATCAAGACAAAAACTGAGGAATGGGGCCGCATGAAAGGAAGCTAAAGAAACAAGACAACTACACATATCTGTGATTCTGGACTGTCTCATGGAAGGATGCTCTTAAGGACATTACTGAGAGAACTGACAAAACTGGAATAGGGATCATGGATTAATAAAAGTATTCGATCCGTGTTAGATTTCTGAGTGTCATAACTATACTTGAGGTTATTCCTAGACACTGAATGTGGGTGCCCCTCCCCAAATTCACATGTTAACCTGACACCCAATGTAGTGGTATTTCGAGGTGGGGCCTTCTGGAAAGCAGTTAGATGAAGGCAGAATGACATCAGTGCCCTTGTAAGAGTCCCCGGAGGGCCCCTGGTCCTTCCACCATGTAAGAACCCAGAAGACGGATGTCCATGAACCAGGAATCAAGCTGTCACCAGACAATGAATCTGCCAGGGCCTTGAGCTTAGACTGCCCAGGCTCCTGAACTGTGAGAAATTCATTTTTGTTGTTTATAAGCCACCTAAGTCTATGGGATTTTTGTTATAGCGGCCCAAATGGACGAAGACAGAAATGTCAGAATGCCCTCGTTCTTATGATACACGAAAGTAGTCAAGGGATAAATGAATATAACCTACTCTCAAATGGCTGAGAAAAATAACATGTGTAAATACAGAGGGCAACAATGCAATCTGGAAATGTGGGTACTTCTGGTTTCTTTACAGACTGAAGACGTCCTTGGTGATATCATGTATATTTGCTACGTTCCTGGACGTGTGTGTGTGTGTGTGTGTGTGTGTGTGTGTGTGTGTGTGTGTGTGT